CAAATATCGAACCATTTGTACTATTCCATTATAGAGTCGTAACAATATAATAAATATGTATTGTTATTTGTTTTGAAGGGCTTCGATTGTGTAAATAGAGTATATGCGCATATACCAGATGCATTTATCAGTTGATAATACGCCCATATTTTGTGGAACGTTTATGGGAATGTGACAGCAGACAAGTTCATTGGCTTATTTTTCACAGCAGTTGAAGGTTGATCAGCATTATTTAGAATATATCATTATGCATCGTGTAAGCCCCAATATTAAAATCCTTATAATGCGGGTGCTCTTAATAAGGCACACACACACATTCGCATACATACACGATTCGGTCTGTTTGGTTGTGTGAGTGTCGCAGACTCACGATTAAATGAACGAAATAAAAAAGAAAGAACTAAGTGCGCTAGCTACAACAGCAATGCGCTACAACAACGATAGCAGCTAACGGTTAAATTGAAATACCGTACATTCAGCTTTGGCTGAGCTATAATCGCAACTCAGTTGATTTATAAATAGAACGGCCGCCCAACGCCCACCCTCATCGCATCGATATGCTCGTGCTCCAGCTCGTGCTTAAGCTCGTGTTGCTTGTCGTGTGCCCCGATCTCGCTGACGTTTCGACGTCGACAGCGACGCCGTCGTCATTCGGTAATTTATTTTATAAAACGAAAACGGCCCGAAACAGTTAGAAGTATTCTTGCACTGGCAGGGCGCAGGCTGTGTCTGGGTCGTTGAAAAGTGCGAAAAGTGCGAAAAGCTCAGCGGAGCGCGCGACTGTTCGATCGGGATATCGCGTTGAGTTGAGACTTACAACAATTGGATTAGGGAATTACGCTTCAAATAAATACAAAAATAATCATAATTAGACTTATTACAATTCTACATTGTGGCCACGTACTAAAAGTAGTTTTTATAGCGCAGTCAATGTGATAAATTCAGTATATATATATATTTATATAAGTGTTCCTCAGAGTTGCGAATGTGTTAGTGAAACGCTTAACAAAAGACAAAGGGAAATTAATAATAAAAATATCAAAGTTCCTTAAAAGAATTCAAAATAATATAAAATAATATAAATTATTTTTATAAATAAAATGATCAAAGTAAACCTGATCTATCCAATAATCCTTTGCTGTTGCCTGGCGGCTGTGCCGCAGGTGCGAGCAAAGCATCTGCTCGAATTTATCGCTGAAAGTGCGAATAATGAAATTGAAAAACAAGTTGAAACATTTGATTTTTCCTCCTGGTAAGTTACGAGAGTTCGTAAAACTTTCGCTCACTTTACATACTGTCCGTAAGATACGAAAACAAAAAACAACTTTCATTATCTAAATTATTAGTTTTATTATTCTTTTACGTGATTTTTTTTTATCTGTATAAGTGTGTCTATATACTTGCTTAGTATATGACCTGTTTCATACACCCATATCAACTGGATTATACTCTCTGTAACAACGAACCGGTTCAGAATTATCAAACTGAAACCACTTAAAATCTCGCATTCGACTTTTATAATATACGTACATTTGAAAAAAAGTAAAGAAAAATGGAATATAATCGCGATCAATAAACGTGACGGACTATTTCAGAATCGTGCCAGTGTATTGAATTCCATATCAGATCCTATCGCACAGGTGTTGCACTGAACTTGTTCATGCTGAAAGTCTAATTGCCTCATTAAGAGGGCGAAAGAAAAAGTTATTTACACTAATTTATGATGTCAGACCGTAGGTCTACTAAAGTCGTTAGCTTAATGTCTTTTTTTTCTCTTTCTTTAAGATTCATTTACGGTTCAGCTCTTGATCAATTTTGCTTAAGTGCAAGTGCAAGAGTACGAGAAGCAGTTTATTCAAATTTAGTATATGTTTAGTTTTCTGTTTTCACGGAGAAGTTTATAAATTTGTATATAAAAATAATCTGGTTAGCTTTTTTAAGGATTTTATTTGAATGTAAGTTTCTTCATTATATATGAAGATGTATAAATTAAATAACGTGAAAAGAGTATTTTATATAAGATATACTTCCCTAAAAGATGTTAATCAGATTATTTCGATTTATGATTTCATACTTTTAATAAAAACAAAGAATTTATTTTCAATCAGTCAATAAAAAAAAAATTACCTAAAACAAAATATTATAAATATGCAAATATATAATGAATAACGTTTTAAAATTTATAATATATAAATGCTGAATTATGATTATGTTAGGCTTTAAATATAGAATTACTGAAGTCAACACATATTAGTAAAAAAAAAATAAAATTAAAAGAAAATAATAATACGATATATATAAATTTTTCCCATATTTTGATTTCAGCCAAATATATTGCTATGGACCTCTGTTGCATACGGTACAGATGGCGAAGCTGTTTCCCGACTCGAAGACCTTTGTAGACATGAAACTGAAGGCTTCGCCTGAGAAGACAATGGAGTTATTTGAGGCATTTATGGCTTCCGCGAATAATACACCCAGCAACGATCAGATACGGAAATTTGTTGATGTACGAAAGAGACGTCAATTCAATAGTAGCGTAAATTTTCATTGATCCAATCTTTTCGGAACTTGTAGGATAATTTTGGAGCAAAGGGCACCGAGCTAGAGGTGTGGACACCTACAGATTGGGTCGAGCATCCAGCGTTTCTGGATCTTGTGAACGATCCGGATCTGAAGCAATGGGGCGTCGATCTAAACAATATCTGGAAGGAGCTCGGGCGTAAGATGAAGGACGATGTGCACAAGAACCCGGAATATTACTCCATTATACCCGTGCCCAATCCGGTCATTGTGCCCGGCGGCCGCTTTATCGAGTTCTACTACTGGGACTCTTACTGGATCATTCGAGGCCTGTTGTACAGCGAGATGAGGGATACGGCCCGTGGCATGATCGAGAACTTCATGTCGATTGTACAGCGCATTGGATTCATACCGAACGGTGGTCGCGTCTACTACTGGGGTCGCTCCCAGCCGCCGCTACTGGCGGGCATGGTCAAGTCCTATGTGGACTTCACCAAGGACGATCGCTTTGCGATCAATGCACTGGATGTGCTGGAGCACGAGTTCGAATACTTCATCAACAATCACAGCGTACAGGCCAAAGGTTATAATCTAGCTGTGTACAGGGACTCGTCGAAGGGACCCCGTCCCGAATCCTACAGTGAGGACATAGAGACAGCTGCTACCTTCAACACCGACGAGGATAAGGAAAATCACTATAGTGAGTTGAAGTCGGCTGCTGAATCGGGCATGGACTTCAGCTCTCGCTGGTACATCAACGATAAGGGCACAAATGTTGGAAATCTCTCAGTTACGAAGACCCGCTCCATTGTTCCAGTCGATCTAAATTCAATTCTCTACTGGAACGCCAAAATTATTGCAGAATTCCATGCCAAGGCGGGCAACGTAGAAAAGATGACAGAGTATGAGACCAAGGCGCAGAAAATCAAGGAGGTAAGTAGATCAAAATCTAGCAAAATATATATATCTATCTATATCTTACTCTCTCATGTATTCGGCAGGCTATTCAGGCTGTCCTGTGGAACGAGGAGGCCGGCTGCTGGCTGGACTATGATTTGATCAACGAGAAGCCGCGCGACTACTTCGTGACCTCCAATCTAGCCCCCTTGTGGGTCAAGGCTTACAATATTTCCGACACCGACAAGATATCCGCATCGGTGCTGAACTATATTGAAAAGAACAAACTGGACACATTCCCAGGCGGCATACCAAACACGCTCTATCAGACTGGCGAGCAGTGGGACTTCCCCAATGTGTGGGCGCCTCTGCAGTATATTATCATCGAGGGTCTGGACAATTTGGGCACTCCCGACGCCAAGCAGCTGTCGAAGAGGTGGGGTCATCGCTGGGTGAAATCCAATTTTGCGGCATATCGCGATTCGCGTGCCATGTTCGAAAAGGTAGCGTTCGAGTAGTCTATGTAATACAATATATAGCTCTCTGATAATACCGGAATTTTTTCTTTCTCATTCAGTACGATGCGGAAAAGTTTGGCGGACATGGCGGCGGTGGTGAATACGGCGTACAGAAGGGCTTTGGCTGGACCAATGGCGTCATCATCGAGTGGCTGGCGAAATACGGGCACGAGATTTCGCTGAGCAACACGGGCGCTGCAGGTGAAAACGCGAACTAGAGCAACAACTCTGACCACGCCCCGAGCGATTGCTACGGGCAATTGCTAAACGTTAAACATTATTTGAAACCATGAACCAAGCATCGACATTGTCCTCGTCTCAGTTGTTACAACTGTTGCAGGCATACTTTTAGTTTTAGATTGAAGCTCTCAGAGATGCTCAAATAGTTGATAATTCACATATATAATTAATATCTGTTATTCAGAGAGACTCGAGTATCATCGACCATTGTCCATCAATAGGCTAAGCTCTGTCTCTCTCTCTCTCTCTCGCTCACTCACTGTCACTCTCTTTCTGTGTGTCTATAACTAATGTCTGTATCGGAACAATCAACGTCTGCAACGAGCACAAAGCACATTCTCCGCCCAGAGAGAATTATGAATTGATGATCAGATCCAGCCAGAACAACATGAGAGATTACACACATCTGCTCCACACACACACACACATACACACACACACTCTATCTCTATCTCTCTGTCTCACTATTTCTACCTAAATATATATTATATATCGCTTTTCATTTGTCTTCAACTTTGCCTTCGCCCTCGTCTCGTCTCGCCTCGACTCGCATCTATATATCTGTCGTTCTGTCGTTTAACGCCAAAACTTTTTACGTAAGTGTCTCAAAATTCATTTGTCTCTTATTCTTAACTATATATATGTATGTTCTAATACCTGCACAATTTGCTTAACGTAAGCGCACCACTAACATAGTTCCCATAAAAGATCTTCACATTTACGTAGCCATAGTACAGCATGATACAAGTATATGGCTTTGCGATTTAGCTACCGTTAGATTTATTTGTTGTTATTATAATTTATTATTTATTAATTATACTATTYTCGTCACACTTTCCACAGGTCCCAGCAGTCGATTCCTCAGCTTATTAGGCGTAACAGCTGTGGCGTTAATAGGTGCCTTTGCCGGTCATCTCATCTGGTGAGGTGAGTCTTAATAACGGAGAGAGCTCTATTTAATATTATAGAGTGAGAAGGCAATTGCTAATTACATTTAAATTTTGCTTCTCATTGCAGATTCAGAAACAACTTTGATTGCCCTATGAAAATGTGATTCCCTCCTTCCCAGCATTTTAGTGTGCATGTGTGTGAGTGTGTGTGTGTGTGTGTGAGCGTATGTATGTGTTTCCAATTAGACAAAAAGCGTTTTCAGCTTGTGTGCGCAGATTGCAGTATTAGATATAAACAATATACAATTGACATATTTGTTAGAGATGTGATGTGAGTTGTACATACAGAATTCTATAATAACGGGCATGCCCCACTTGTTGAGTTACCTTTAATATTAAGCTTAAGCAACCAATTGAAGACAATAATGGACACAAATCAATGTTAATGCATGGCATTCGTTGACTACAAATATATATATATATATAGAAATATCCTCGCAACCCTCGTGAAGAAAAGACACAATTTGATATATTTTTGATGTTGTTAGTTGTTAACAAAAATTACCAAATTGTTTCCTCTGATTTATAGTTAAATAAAAAAAAAAATTAAAATAATAATACAAATATTTGTTGCATGAACACAACTGTTTTTCTGTTTTTCTGTCCATAAACAAATGTTAATAATATTTTCCCACTTCTACAGGCGAACTTGGTTCAAGTAACTCTGAGCGTCAGCACAAGTGTCAAGTGTACATAGGTTTTTTATTTTATTTTTATATTGTTGCTTTGCTTGCATTCAAAATTCAATAATTGGAAACTTATCTATAAAATAGCTAACACGACATAATAAGACGACATTAAACTAGAGGACTGAGTTACATGCACATTTATATATACATACATATATACATACATACATGTATATATATAAAGCATATGTAATTTGAAATCTTAGCGCACTTTTGCCTTTGGATATGACTCTGTTTGATTTGACAAGGACACAAACTATCCACAGATAACAGATACAGATATAACAAAAAAGAAGGAGTGGAATTATCGTACACAGTACATACATAGAGAAAATAACAATAAATATTTGCCAGCGCGTTAGAATAGTGTAAATTAACTAATTCGTCTGCTGCGGCTCGTGACTAAAGTAGGGAGCGGTGTTTGGCGTGAGCAAAGTGTGACAAATATCACAGACGCGGGCAATACGTTTCCGTGGTCCCGATGGCACCGTTTTCGTTAGACATTTATCGCAGTAGATGTGTCCACAGTGGCGACAATGGATTTTGCGCACCATCACCGTGAAGCAGGCGTTGCATGTGGGACAATTGTTGACATCGTCGTCGTCCTGCCAGCGCACCTCGGTGTCAGCATGCCGCAGCTCCTCCAAGGTCATCTACAGAAAACAACAAATAGGTTTAAGTTTACAAGTATAATGGAAAATAAAAAATAAATATTTCTATTTTTACTTAATTGGATTTCAACTTACCTGCAGTTTTTGTGACAGTTTGACAAAATCTTTTTGCACCGTTTCCATTGTGGACAGCTCCTCCTGAAGCGTCTTTATCTTCGCCTTATAGTCTACATTAGTTTTTGCCAGTTTCTCCTGAAAATGAATCATACGTTAAATTGACTGATTGATTTAATGCGTCAACTACTTACATTTGCTTCCTGTAGTTCTATAATCTCAACGCGGCACTCGGACAGCTGCTTGTTCAGCTCAGCCTCTTTACGTTCCAAAAGTGCCTTTGATGACTCGTGCGACTGCTCCGCGATCAGCTTTTCCGTGATGCGATCTCTACGGATATAATAATATATAATGAATTAATATATGATTGGCATAATTATATATCTTCGACTTACTGTAGTGTCTTAATGCTTGATTGCACTTTACGCTTATAGGCACGCATTTCATTGTTGCTCTCTTCGAGCTGGGCGCGCAATAAATGAATCTCATCCAGCGAACTGACGCACTTCTGTTTCTCATATTCGCTGCTAACTCGGGCCTGTATCAGTTCGTTCTGCTGTCGTAGAATTAACTCCTGTAGCTCGACCACAGTGTTTGGGAGATTAATGTATTGGTTCTCAATTTCCTCGGATGTCGCCAGAAATCGACCGGACAGAAAGTCATTGTCAGCCTGCAGTGTCTCTAGATGCTGGTTAACCCTTTCACGATCATCAGACACTCGCTGCAGATTTCGCATCACCTCCTCCTTGGTCTCGAGAAACTTTTGTTGCATATCCAACAGTTGTTGCTCGTTGTTCTTCACTTGCTCGCGAAGGTTTTGTACTTCGGTCTTGTGTGCCTCCCGCTTCGTCTGCCACTGATTCTCCAAGTCAGTGCGTAGCGCCGCTTCCTTGCTCAACTGTTCCCGCGCTTCAGTAATCTGCTTTTGTAGTATATCCATTTGCTTTTGCTGTTGCTTCAACTGCTCTGCCAAATCATTGGCACGCTGTTCTGTCGTATTACAGCTACTACAAGCTGTACTGTCTTCTACCAAATCTGTTGATGTGGACTTGTGCATGGCAGCTGCTCCATCTAGAACGGATTCTGTTGTTTCCTCTGTACGCTGTGAGGTGCTTGCTTTAGCCTGTAGCTGTTCGTCTGCTTCCCGCAACTTTTCCTTTAGCGCTTTCATTTCTGCTTGCAGTTGCTCAATTATGGAGTGCATCATTTCGGCATCTTCGGGGGCCTGTTTAAACATACATATATAGATGCTAGTGGAGCTACAAATAGGTCTAAAAGTACTCACATATTGGTTGGCATTTGACTTGCTTGTTCCACGCGCGTTGCTGTCGGCGCTCTCCTGCTGAAAGCTGTTGTTCAAGGACTCGCTGCCTAGTTTTCGCACAGATCCGAGTGTTTTCTTCACCTGGTTAAGAACATGAGGTGCTAGTCCGCCGGATGGCTCAGCTGTAGCTATTTGCTGCATCTGCTGAAGTTGTTGTTGCTGTAGCCGCAGCTGTTCTACTTTGATGCGCTCCAATTCTGCTTTGTATATGGCCGATTCTTCGATCGTGTCCTGCACCAGCTGTTGTAGTGACGATATCTCCTCTTGCGCCTTTATATCCTTCAACTGCATTTCGTTCTCGCATTTTAGATCTGCTACCATGACGTGCGTCTTCAACTCATTCAATTCGTCTTGAAGCTGCTTCCGCTCGGCCTCCTTTTGCATGTACAGCTCCTTCATTTTTGCACGCTGCGTATTAAACTCGTTTTGCATTTTACGCATCTCGGCCTGGAGCAGTTCCAACTTATGCTGGTATGTCGCGTCATCATCTCCTGAAATGACGATGTTAACTTTAACTGAGTTCAGCATTGATTATGAGTCATTCGCTTACCGTTTGCAACGTTATTCTGGGCCTCCACCGTACTCTCATTCTCCTCCATTTTACAGAAAATGAGCTAAGACAATAATATCAACAATTATGTTTAGTTTACCACAGGGATGCAAGCCATCAGAATTAGAGATGCGCCGCACAAATAGAACTCGCCCATGAAACACTCGCGACTGCCGATTAGTGTACAAGACACGATGAGCAGCAGAGGCTGGCAGTAATTATGCTGGCATATAATCTCCGATTATTTATACTTCATAATAAAAATACATTCTTATTAATCATCTATATAAAAAATATCATAATTGTGACCTACAATTCTAAGTGGTGGAATATGGCTTAACGATATTTGATTATACTTTTACCCATTTAAAGGTTATTTTGTAGATTTACTTAAAATTTATTWATAAGATTCAATAATAATATTAATTTTGCTTTAAATGTAACGACATAGTAAACTCTCAGCGCAAATACTCTATGGAAATATCGATGAGGAAATCGATATGAGTCCCTATCGATTGGCCCGTCGTACTGTCTCACCTCTAATGCACATGTGTTTTGGAACGCAGTAACTACGAAAGTTCTCAATTTTATTTTGAAGAAACACCAAATCTTGCAGCCTAAAAATGGTAAATTTTGAACTCTATAACCATGTCAACATCCCTTAAGTCCATTTAATTTGTAGGTGAAAGGGAAAAAGCCATATATTGACCGGAAAAAGGCTGTCACATTTCACTTGGTGCATCGCAGTCAGCACGATCCCTTGGTGACCGATGAAACTGCTCCACAGCGTGTGCTTTTGGAGGCGAGTGCAAGGCAGTCGCAATCAAAGCCACAGGATGAAGCAACCGTGGATCCAGAGAAACGGCGAGAGGAGCTGAAAAAGTTTGGTATTCACTTTGATGACGACTACGATTACCTGCAGCATCTGAAGAAGCGAGAAAATGATGTGGTTTGGGAGTATATGGAGAATCCCAATCAAGCAAAGAAGACGAATGCTGAGGATGCTAAAGCGCAGACCAAACTCCTGCTGCCCAGCTCCGTATTTGCTAGTGAATTTGAGGAGTCTGAAGGCATGTTAAACAAAGCAGCTCCTCAGCCCGGTCCGCGACCAGATTGGGATCCTGATGTTGTTGCAGCACTCGACAGCGATTTCGAAGACACTGAAGAGTTGGAAGACGATTTCGTAATGAAAGCGATGGGCAGCGGTGATGAAGACGAAGAGGGAGACGACGAAGATTGGGAAGACGAGGACGAGGAGAATGATATGGACTTTGATTCAGATAATTTAAATGAAGATGAGAACGCAGACGAGATGATGGACCGCCTTGGTCCACTGATGCGCAAAAGTCGTTTTGATGATGAGGAAACCAAGTCGCGCTTCACAGAATACTCAATGTCGTCGAGTGTAATTCGTAGAAACGAGCAACTCTCACTGCTCGACGATCGTTTCGAGCAGTTCTATGCAAGCTACGACGATCCTGAGCTCGGAGATCTCGCTTTAGAAGACATTGAGGGTCAATGGCATCAGAAGCATCCCGTTGTAATGCAATGTTTCCAGGAATTCAAGAAGAAAAACGAAGACTTGAAATATGACAAAGAATGGGATCGCGAGCGCATTAAGAAATACGAAAATGTTGTTGACGGCGAACATGATCCAACCGACGAGCTGGTCGATTACGAAGTCGAAGACGGCAAAGAGAAGAAATGGGACTGTGAATCCATACTCTCCACATATTCTAATATTTATAACCATCCAAAACTAATCGATGAGCCTCGCGCCAATCGACGTGCGGCACCCATTAAGATCGATCCCAAAACAGGTCTTCCAGCAAACGTGCTGCGTGGCGGCACCGATGCCCAGCTCACAGCTAAGGCGTTGGCCAATTTGGCCGATGATTCAGCAGATAATGCTGGTCCGAAATCTCTGTGTGCCAAATCGGTGCTATCCACACTCAGCGTCCTCTCCATACGCCCCAAGGACGAGACTCCCGAGGAGAAGCGCGAACGCAAACGTTTGCTTAAGGATTACCGCAGCGAACGCCGCATCGAGAAGAAGGCCAACGCCGAGGCCTTCAAGGAGGAGAAGAAACGGCAGACACATGTGAAAATCAACCAGCGCACGAACCAGCAGGGCTCGACAATTGTTTAGGCTGCCTTCATTAAATAGTTTTTAGTAAGAATATTTGTTAATACTGGAAATGCTAGTTGTAATTTACAATCATGATTTATAAATATCCCATTATGTATGGATGTACATAAAAATATTTAATACACATTTGGAAATCAAAAAAGAAAAATAACTGGCTAAGCATTATATCAAAACTAATATGCTCTATTATAAAATACCCTACATATATGTTCGTGTGGAAATACTAGCGTAGCCATAAAAAGACAACCACGAGCCACGCAACAATTACCTCAAACCCCAACAGTGACGCCTATGGGCTTATGTATTTATATATGCATATGTGTATATACATACATACATATGCCTATATGCTATGACCAACTTGCAGCAGATAGGCCGATTTGCTCAAATTCCTATATATTAACTTATATACATATATTATATTGAAATTGACGTTTCATTGTTAATTCACACTTCTTCAGGTAGTGCAAACAAAAAGTCAGGACATACCAGGGGACATTTTCAGTTGTATTTAATATACTATATAGAATATACATACATTTACAGTACTTCTGGCCACTCATTACAACGCATTTAAGTTCTAAAAACACAGTTTAGAATTTCCCCTGAGATATGAGTGAAAGTAGGCGCGATTTCCAGCTAATAAAAGTTAGCTCTACTTTTCGAAGTGGGTGTTGCTGTTGGAAAGGCCCAACAATATCGGACTACATATGAATGGGTGTATGTATGTATGYCTATATATACATATGTTTGTCTAAATAGATACCCTATGCATGTGCTCGTCTGTTTGTATTCCTTTTCCCCGTCCCACCTGTTTAGTGTTTGGTTATTTTGTGGAAATTTCAAGTCAAATTGCCTAGGTTTTATTGGAAAGCCCCGACGTCAGTTGTTTATTGCGATTATAGTTAGTTGCTTGATGGAAGGGTGTAGACATATTTAGTTTAGGTAAATCATATTTATGCCTTCGTACATATGGCCTATAGTATGTGTTTTTCCAGCCGGAACTGAAATGTGAGACGCTTTCAGTTTCGACATAATTATGACCTTCAAATGGGGTGTCAAGTATACATTTATATCTTTTAGAAAAATATTAGCATACATTCATAATTCAGTTAGAGTTTCGTATTAATACATCATCATTAGTATTTGCCAAAAGCACAATGGTTATGTTTGTATGTACTTATGCGCTGAGCCAAGCAAATCGTAGCCTAATTACCGACCCTGTGTTCTACTAAATACCAAAACAAACCACGTACTATTGCAAATGATTAAAAATCCACATGGCCACATTTCCATGGCGCCTAACGGAACCTAACACCAATTTGGAACCAAGCTCGAGCTCGCACGCTTACCCAGCACGATACTCACAGCTCCTTGTAAATGGAAACCGTCACAGTTGTCGTGCCGCTGCCGCTGCCGCAGCCGCAGCCGCAGCCCCTTCTCCTGCTTCAGCCACTGCCAATGTCCCTAGCTGGCGGCTAGCGTCGGCGTCAGCGCCAGCGCTGGCGTCGCGTTTGCTGCCATTTTGTTGGGAGCGCGGTATATTAAAGTGGCAAGAAAGCAGCAAAGAAATTCGCGCATTTTTAGTTCCGTTCAGTTCCTGAGCGAAGCCGAAAGGATTCGAACGCGCGTCGGCCAGCAACGCGGTAATGCCCATATTATTTCATTCAATTGTCCAGCAGACAAAAAGTGTTCGTGTCATTGCCTCAAAATGGGCTAAGTGCATTTTCGATTCGGTTACTTTTCGAATCGCATAATGAATGTTCTAATGAGTCAAATCGATAACAACTTAAACTATCGGTGTTAGTTATGAAAGAAATATAAAGTTATTAATAATACATGCCTACAAATGCATACAAATACAATCTAACACGAACCAGTTCCGCGCCAATTGTAAACATGTGAAAAACCGTTACAAATTAGCGATGAGAGTTTTAATTATGCAAACATATGGCCAAAGCTTGTCTTTAGTGTGAACAGCCGAAAGAACAACAATTAAATTTGTTAAAATCCCTTTCAACTTGCATTCGTTTAAAATAAATTTATATTAATTTAAGAGAATAAACGTAGCCGCTTTTAACATGCATAATTAAAATAAATGGATTTCCAGACTCAATTAGTCGCCTACTAACGCACGTACATACGTAAATATTTTATGATATGCTTTTATAGCTTTGTGCGAAAATGCAAAATATTCCATACTCAAATAATTAAAAACTGTAAAATACAAAAAGATATTGCAATATACATATATCATACATAACTATATGCGAATAAATACATAAATATGTACATATGTGTTTGCTTCAGATCTAAATCTTTAAGTGTGTAATAAACGCCTAGCTGTGTGTGTATGTGGGGCTAGCCGGATATACTTCATCTTGCGGAATTTTTAATTTCAATGGCGAGAACTATCATTTCCACTGTCACTCGCAATGGCAATGTCAATGTCGCTACCGGTTCCTCTTGTATTACATATGTATATAAATTGAAATTATCAGGAAAATCATAATCTTGCCAAAGAAAAACAAATATTCGATATGCATAGGAAACATGATTTAAGATTGGATGAGACATTGCAATATTTGCCCTTGTGCAATCACAGATATAGTATGCCGATCGAGCTTTTTCTATCTTATATTGAATGATCTATAGTTCCATTATATAAGTCACAGATATGTGCATATACTTAAGTAGCTTACTTTGCGTATGCTGACCAAATTGTAACGATAATATTTAAAGCGCGCGCGCTTAAGTGGAATCGGCACGCGATTCAATTGTCTCACATGGACTTAAGGCGCGAAGTGTGCCGCACTTGCCGTTATATATGTATATGCTTGTGTGTGTGTGTGTATGTACATATTTGTCTCTCTGTCTCTATATGTGTGTGCTAGTGTGCATGTATTTGCCTTGACCGGCTGCCTGGCAAGCTTAGGCATCGCGCTCCGTGGCTATCATTTTACTAGAACCACATGCGCCTGCCTCCCACACAGATGGCCCGATAATCGCGCACAATCTATGAACATATGTGCATATCCGACAGCAGAAATCATGAGATAAGTGACACACACACACACACACGCACACACATGCACACTCGCATCTAGCCATAGATTTACATATGACATATGCCGTAGAGCACGCCACTATAGCGTCGGCCGAGTCGGACAACGGTTTATTTATTCGATATTTGAGCGCTAGTTGAGTTGGTATCGCAGTCGCAGTCGAAGTCGATCCATGAGTCCAACTGGGCGGCAACATAATTAGCCAATAACGCGATAAAATCGTGATAATATATATCCCAATTGTATATTTAGTAATCAATCAAGCTAGTGCTCGCTCGTATCCTTTGAGGTCAACTCGGAGCTTAACGACATTTCACTTTTATCTTTTAATTTGAATGCATTGAGAATTAAATTCGAATTCAACTTCAATTTCGATTTCGATTACGCTATCGTGTTGCAGATTTCATAAAGCGAATTATGAAATTCCCACGTCGATGTAAAGTGAGATGATTTGAGGTTTGGTTTAATTTTCTGTTTCGTCGTCAACATCATGCTGGGCAAATACAACACAAAGGCATTCATATCGCTTGGATTGACTTTCATATTGATGTGGTGAGTTCCAATTTCAATACAGGAATTTATTATATTATCCTGATTATTATATATTGCATACGCATAGTAAACTGTTTTTCTTAGACATAATTGATTGATTCATTCTTGAATTTTAAAATCAATTAAATTTGTAAAAGCTTCAATATGATAGAATTTTCCTGTAGAGTATAATATCAGCAATTTAGTTAAATAAATAATCAGACTTGTAAATGAAAAACTAAGCTTTAACTTACTTATACATATAGGCTGATATATGTGTTATATTAGCCAGCATTTGGATTGAAACATAACAAATATATTCTACAATATTTAAATTGTCATAAATTATTCAAGTAGGCTTTTAACGCTTAGACAAAATATTTGAGTAGTATATCATATGTAAATATGTCTAATCTTAAATATATTTTATGGACTTAATTGAAAAATTGCACTCGACAGACTTATCACATATATATTTATAGTAGAAGATTTACAGAAAGATAATTATAATAATTATATAGGTGTGTATTTCCACCATGCACATGATTCTGCCAAATTTGAAATGCAATTGTTGTCAATTTGTTATTATTTTTTACTTAAAACAGCTTGGGTAGACTGCTAAGCAAGCAAATTGCACAATAATAACTATTTAAAATATACACTATATAATATATATATGTTATTGATATAAATTAATTTTAAGTATTAGTAAGTATTCAATATATAATAAGCATCATAAATAATAAGTAGTATAAATAAATAAAGCAAACTGTGCAGAAGTCCTAGTCCATAAGAGAACTATAAAACAAAAGAGACTATGCCATCTATAATTATAAATATTAATGTAAATAAATTATTAAGCATATTGAGCAGCGTAATGAGGTAACCCGATTGAACAATTTGTGTTTGATTCCCTGTTTATCGTTCGTATGCATTTCTGTATAGCTGTCTCTCTGTCTGATTCCCTGACTGTCTCTCTGCCTAACAAGAGCAAGGGACGATGAAAAACTACCGAAGATCATTCGAGTTGTCTATGTGTATGCAGCAGTCTTCACTTCGTATTTATAATTGAGTAAAACGAGGCCAGCTTAGAGAGAGTTACCATTGACTCGACTGCAACGATCTCTACCTGGCGTCGGGCTCTACCTTTGAGCGCGTCTGAGTGTGTGAGTGAAAGGTGCCCTATATAAAGGGCAGCTGCAGGTCTGGTGGGAGTCAGTCGTGCAGAAATACTTAGCAGAAATTCATTTGATTTTTAATTGCTATCAAATGTTGATCTTGCGCAAAGCATTGCAAAGCATTAACTGAAATATTTTAGGCTTGTGTCAACTTTGAGGAGGAAATTGCATATAATATATGCTATTTTTTTTTATTGAATATAACCTTTGCACGGTATTTCCGAGTATTGGCAAGCCATTTGACAAAATGAAAAATAATGAAAAAGGAAAGGGAAACACAACACACACTCA